ATGTTTTAAAATTTACCAGATAGTTGAAATTCTCTACTTGATTTGTATGGTCGCACCAATTTGCAAATGTTCTTTATTAAAACTTTCGTTCGTTTAGCCGGGACACATTAATTTCACTGTTTAACCTGTTTATATATATATATATATATATATATATATATATATATATATATATATATATATATATATATATAAGAAGAACTTCTAGTTACTAAATACAAACTATTACAGTAAAAAGAAATATAAATAATCTGGAAAATGCCAGGTGATTCTTCTTGAATAAAATATTTCTAGATTTCTTTTCCAAAATTTTATATATATATATATATACATACATACATATATATATATATATATATATATATATATATATATATACATGCACATTTCATTAAAAAACGACAGACAATGTGCTTTTATTTATTTTTTTTTATACAATTTCTCATGCGATCTAATAATTTTTTTTTCTTTTCGGATGATAAATTATATAAAAACTGTCCAAATGTTCTTTTTATCCGAGCTATACATTTAACCATTTTCAAGTATTATATTTTAACTTAAAATTAGAAATAGTTTGTTGTATGTATTTTTTATAAAATGTTTTAATTTTTTTGTTTCAAAACACGTTCAAGATATTATGTCCATGTTCGAAGTTAATATTATTAAGTGTTGGTTTGTTTGTTTTTATTAATAAGGCTTCCATTATTTTTAACATAATACTAATTATAAACAAGATGAAAATATACTTAAAAAATTAGTAAATACTAATATATCAACAACAGATCCCTGTGCCATTTGTCCTTGAGGATATCTGTGTATGAAATTCTGGGTATTATAAACCTAATGTCACCAGCAACCATTTTTTACCAGTGCTCATATTAAAATTTTTTGCTGTTATCACACATGTTTTTACCAGAGCACATATTGTAATTTCTTTGTCATTATCGCTTTTCTCTGGCAATCCTTATTACTGGTTACCATATTGTATTCATTTCCATGCATGTTTGGCTCAGAAGATTTTTGTGGCTTAGCATATGTGCTGATTCCTTAAGTTTTCGAATTTTCTAATGGTGTTCTTGATCTCAACCTGATCCCACAAAGGGCGGTGATCTCCATTTTCTCTTCATATGTGGTCAGCCACGCCTGATTTTTCCCCTTCCCCTCGTGTTACCGCAGATGAGGACAATAGTCCAAATAATGTAAATAGTGTACATAATGCCTCATCTCAGAAATACAGACAGATACTAAAGTAAGAGGAAAAAAAAGATCATTAAACGTTGGAAGACAGACAGACAGATTTTTCATCAAAAAAATACAAACCAAGCTTCAAGTTCCATATTCGGGATCTCGGAATCAACACGGATATGTATATATCTCGGTTGTGTATTTGACGAAAAATGTGACAACGGAAAATGTGTTACAAATATCCGATGAGGGGGAAGGTGAACAGTCGAAACGGTGTCTTCTCTTTAACTTTGCTCCCAAAGGTTCTGTCCGTCTCTCTGTCATTTCGCGAGCAGTGGTCATTGTCTTATAGAGAACATTGTTCTTTGTCTTGTCATTGTTATCTACAAAGTAATTTATCATCATTCATTGTCTCTCTTTGTCCCAAGAGCTTCCTCCGTGCTTGTTAATTCCACTTCACTTTATTATGAGCATCGGGAAAAATAATTATCCGAATCTGTTTTTTTTTTTTTTTTTTTGATGGGTTAGTTGTATTCTATGATATCATCTGCCTGATAACGCCGCATAATCTGCATATTGGGGATTTCCGAAAACAAAACAAAAATGTATTTATCTGGGTTGTGTCGACGACAGATAATATTACAAAGGAAGATGTGCTAAAAATATTCGAATAAAGGTAGGAATAGTAAAAGATATCTTACTGAAACTAAGCAAAGTATAAGGAGTAAAAACTTATTGGAAAATGAATGCGGTGCTGAAATGGTTTATAAAATTAATTCTTGCTGGGAACTGTATATGTGGGGCAGGTTCTTCCCAGATGAAGAGTGAAAAAGTGGAAAAATCAGGCTTGGCTGACCACATATGGAGATATTTGGTTCTATATATGAATATGAGTAACACCACAGACAGAGCATACGAGCAATTATTATATTTTAAAGAAAATAGAGAGAACTAAGAACTTATAATGAAAAAAGCGAGAGTTGGTTAGTGTTGTATAGTAGCTAGCAACCCTCAGCACTCTACCAGATGGCCTGGCTCATAGCCTTAAATAGTCTACGATTAAGGACTTCAACAGTTGAATAATAAGTTGTTACTAAACGGATTAATATTCAGACTGATCTTACTTCGTTTGTCTATACAGCATTTGATCCCCCCTCGATTACTTGTAAGTTGTCTTGTTAATTGTTTTGGAACTTATTGTTTTGTGTTTTTTGTATCTATCCGTTAGGACCGGATACTGGTGCTGAATAAATATATCACACATTCATTCTTCTCTGTATATCATTCACCTCGACGTTAAAACAGGTAGTCTGCGATATATCAAGGAAAAACTTTCTGGAAAATTTAACACTCACAAGATATAATGAAGCCAAGATTATTAGGAGAAACATTGTATAACCTATTTAACGAGTTTGTGTAAATGAATGAAACTACATGTGCAGAGAGGGTGGTAAAGAGTTAAAAAGTTACCTGGAACAATAAAAGGCAGAAATTTGTGGAGAGACATCATTTGGTAATTCAAATGAGGATCTTCCACACTGCTACTTTAAAATTGAGTACTTTAAAGAATTGTCTTGTGAGAATATGACAGCCGTTATTTGAAGATGGTTACTGAAACTATTGTTCGAAGTCACTGATCCATGATTCGTAATGAGGAAATTGAAAGAGACTCTATATACTCTATTGATCTATGATCTCACATAAATGCACCAGTCTGTTAATAACCATCTTCGCATCTATCTATCTATCTATCTATCTATCTATCTATTTATCTATCTATCTAAGTTTCTTCAAATTTATTTTTGTTTGTTGACATCTATCACTTAATATTGACAATACTCTATCTAAGTTTCTTCAAATCTATTTTTGTTTGTTGACATCTATCACTTAATAGTGACATTACTCTATCTATCTATCTATCTATCTAAGTTTATTCAAATTTATTTTTGTTTGTTGACATCTATCACTTAATATTGACATTATCTATCTATCTATCTATCTAAGTTTCTTCAAATTTATTTTTGTTTGTTGACATCTATCACTTAATATTGACATTACTCTATCTATCTATCTATCTATCTATCTATCTATCTATCTATCTATCTAAGTTTATTCAAATTTATTTTTGTTTGTTGACATCTATCACTCAATATTGACATTATCTATCTATCTATCTATCTATCTATCTATCTATCTATCTAAGTTTCTTCAAATTTATTTTTGTTTGTTGACATCTATCACTTAATATTGACATTACTCTATCTATCTATCTACGTTTCCTCAAATCTATTTTTGTTTGTTGACATCTATCACTTAATATTGACATTACTCTATCTATCTATCTATCTATCTATCTATCTATCTATCTATCTATCTATCTAAGTTTATTCAAATTTATTTTTGTTTGTTGACATCTATCACTTAATATTGACATTATCTATCTATCTATCTATCTAAGTTTCTTCAAATTTATTTTTGTTTGTTGACATCTATCACTTAATATTGACATTATCTATCTATCTATCTATCTATCTATCTAAGTTTCTTCAAATTTATTTTTGTTTGTTGACATCTATCACTTTATATTGACATTATCTATCTATCTGTCTATCTATCTATCTATCTATCTATCTATCTATCTTTCTTCAAATTTATTTTTGTTTGTTGACATCTATCACTTAATATTGACATTACTCTATCTATCTATCTATCTATCTATCTAAGTTTCCTCAAATTTATTTTTGTTTGTTGACATCTATCACTTAATATTGACATTACTCTATCTATCTATCTATCTATCTATCTATCTATCTATCTATCTATCTATCTATCTATCTAAGTTTCTTCAAATTTACTTTTGTTTGTTGACATCTATCACTTAATATTGACATTACTCTATCTATCTATCTATCTATCTATCTAAGTTTCTTCAAATTTATTTTTGTTTGTTGACATCTATCACTTAATATTGACAATACTCTATCTATCTATCTATCTATCTATCTATCTATCTATCTATCTATCTATCTGATGTCTAAGGGCTGTCAGTTATCAGTTATCTCCTGTTAATCCCACTCTCCAAGTTCTCCCCCGCCTTACCCAGGTATTGAACTCACACTCTTTGGGTCCTGTCACTGGATCTAACCAACGCCGTTATCAACTGTGCCATATGTCTGGTTCAGTGGGTGGAGAACTTGTAGAGGGGAATTAACAGGAGATAACTAATAACTGACATTCATTAGACATGGCACGTGAAACTAGAACAGTCTACCCCAGTGAGCAAAATAAAGACATTCCAACCACCTGAAGAAGGCCGGAGCGTACAACAGCCGAAACGTTGTAATAAATATGGCGACAAAGATGAGACAATAGTTCGAATAATGTAAATAGTGTGCATAATACATAATCTCAGAAATATAGACAGTTTAATCAATGCTATATTTTTAGGATAAACTTTCGCATGAGACAGTCTGTCACCTCTGAATGTTGATTTCAATGTTCACTTATATATATATATATATATATATATATATATATATATATATATATATGTTGCGTAATCAGTCAGGTTTCGACCCCGACTTTAAGCAAGTGGATGTCTAGCCACACTGATGAGCTGTGTCATAGCGAAACTCCCTGTCTGTCGATGATAATATATATATATATATATATATATATATATATATATATATATATATATCACTCAGTTCATATGTTTTTTCTTTCGGTTCTAGTCTATCTATCTATCTATCTATCTCTTTTTATATATATATATATATATATATATATATATATATATATATCACTCTGTTGGTATGGCTTTTCTTTCTGTTCCTCTCTTCCTGATTCTGTTCAGTATTTTTATCTATCTATCTATCTATCTATCTATCTATCTATCTATCTATCTCGTCTGTTCATATTCATTCTATCTATCTATCTATCTATCTATCTATCTATCTATCTATCTCCGTCTGTTCATATTCCCATCTAACTCAGACTTTCTATTCCTATCTTTCTATTTCGGTCTCTCCATATCTGCTTCTGTTCATTTGTATATATATATATATATATATATATATATATATATATATATATATATATATATAAACACGCTTAATGCTTATGGTACAGTCTATTATTCCAACTGATATTGTTAACTATTATGCTATGCCCGCACTAAAATTCCATATTTACTCAGACGTAAGAAGTCGATAAAATGTGTTTAGCAGCACAAAGGCATAACTGGCAGTATTTAATACCTAATAGTACCTTTCTCACACATCTACATAGCACTCACTGCATACACTGGTTACGTCCTCGTATATGATCTTTTGACATTGGCTTAAAGTAATTGGTACTAATTCTTTGACCCTGAATATTCTCCGTCGAACTATGAGGGGCTTTTAAATTTCTACAAACGCACACTCTCTCGAATGTTTCCGCTGTTTTCCATTTAATATCAGCTTTCTGATATCGCTAAATAAACTACAGATTGGGGATCTCCATATCAACACAGTAATATAAATATCTGGGTTGTGCGAAAGTGGAAAAATGTAACAACGGAAGATGAGTTACAGGAAGGCAAATGCGCATGTGAATAGTGAAAGATGCCTCCGAGAAACTAATCAAAGTATTAAGAGTAAAAATTGGTTGAAAAAAGAACAATGTGCTGAACTGTTGATATGTCCTGGAAAGGGATATATTTGTTCGAAGTAGCAAAGTGGTTTTGGATTACTGTAACCGAGTAGGACAATCTAGCAGGTAACCGTAATGGACTGGTCCTCGTCGTAGTGGTAGGCAATAGGCGAAGACAATAGGCGTAGTCCATGTATCTCCACATCAGTCTGTATTTATGGCTGACACCAGCCAATGATATTACTGTGAGGGGGAATCCATGTGTATGCATATTCATTACATCAACTGTATATACCCGTTAGTTTAAGTTTTATTGGCTGTTTATTTTTACTATTAAATAGAATCCTGTTCAAGAACTTTAGCATTAATTAACTTCCTTCATTTTAAAATCATCATAACTTTGACTTTCCTATGTGTCCTCCCATTTCGTTTCAGTTAATTATGACCATGATGGAAGGAACCTCTAACCCAGTCAAGTGGCCCACTTAGTATATTAATCCATTCTTTGTTCACGAAAGAATCGTTCTTCGCCGAACTTACACATTTCAAGTAAAAAAAATATATATAAAATAGCATAACATATTGATATGTCTGAAAATCTTTTCGTATCAAAAGTGAGGCGATTTAATTATAATCCTTACCATGATTTATGATTTGGTATTTGGACACAAAAACAACATAAGAATCACAGGAAACATATCGTGGACATAAACGTAAATGTGGGGATACTGTTCAGTTCTTTTGGTTATTGTTACAGGCATCAGTACTTGTTGCTGTCTCTTTTGTCTAAATATGGAGACACTGCCGGGAGAACGGTTCCGTCAGTAGCAAAATTCAATTAGTTAGGATTAGTGATTTCCAGAAGCGAAAGACTGCAAACAGCTCGTTTCCTTGATTCCTTTTCATAAATGACCTTTTACGGAATGTGCCATTACCAAATCAAAGAATCTTTCTTTTTTTTTTTAATTAATTATCACACCGGCTCGGTTTTGTTCAGCTGATATTCTAAAACATTGCACTGAAAAGTACCGTTCGTTTTCTAATGATACGAACAGCATTGCATGGGGTAATGGAGTTGTTGGCTGTTTAACACACTAGACGAATTTTCGGCAACGACCATTATTGCTTTATTTGTTCAAGGAAATATTGGGAAGTTTGTCTTGTTCCTATAAAATGCACACGCGTCTTTATTTCATTGCTTCCACCGGCGATCCATTAATTTTGTACACGCAAACTCCGGCTTTTCATTGGTTGATTCCTTGCACGATTCTTTTTAGCTGAAGACTAATATTTTTTCTCCTAAAGAGTTAACAGGTAAAATTCTTGACTTGCCAGATATGAAGCACTCAGTCTCGAAATCTAACGATAGCCTGACTCGAACATAATCGCATTGTAAGGACACGATACTGCGGTAATAAAAGCCATCGTAAAAATAGACAGGCAAAGTTTGTATAGAATTAAATGAAATGCAGGTAGCGTCGAGAGTTTTTCGTCGTGGACGCATTCCAACCACCATCCACCCACCCACCGTAAATGTAAAATTTCGTGTCAGTCTAAATTAGTTAGATTTTTTAAAATAGTTGATGGAAATGTCATTAAGGTCTTTCTCTGATTTCACATCATTTCACATCAAGACAAGAGCAAAAATACTGTAATGATAACAATAATAATAATAATAATAATAATAATAATAATAAGAAGAAGAAGAAGAAGAAAAACTCTAGCTGTCAAATTAAACAGATGTGTTTTTATCGCACCAAGAAAAAAACAAGATGAACAGAAAAGTAAGGAAAGTGATTATTATTATTATTATTATTATTAAAGTGATTTTTGTCATATTATTTATTAGTGTTTGTTTTTATTGCTCTATTTGTCTATTAAGTTGTGTGTTTTATTTTATGTCATATATTTTCATCTGTTTATTATTCTCATTTTCATATAAATTGGCATTAATTACGTGTATTAAATGCAACCGAAATAATCATGTTATTACAAAATTATATATATTTGCTAACTAATATATTTGACACAAGGGAATGATCCTTAGTCATTTACTGATTTATAATTTAACAGTTTTGATTAAAACTTCATTTTAATTATTTTTATTTTATTCGTGATATGGAAAATGAAGACGTAATTTTAGATCTTGCATGAGAGGCGTGTAGCGAGAGACAAAAACTTATCTCTCCTTCTAAAAAAAAAGTTAGCAATAAAAATAAAGTAGAAAGACGTACAATTTTATGTTCGTGACAAATAAACAGATAGGTACAACATTCATATTGTTTTTGTAACCAGTTTTTTGCAAGTAGATATATGCAAACCTATACAAGTGTTTTTATACGAAGGCTTTTGTATTTTGCATTAAATTTTCATATATTTATGTTGCCTCATGTTTCATACACTTTAAACGACGTCTATGCTACATATCCCCGAACAGCAGACGTTTTGAACCCCAACCACTATTTTCTAACATCATTTACCTAATGCCTATTTAACCATTTATTTTCTTATATTATTTATTTATATTATTCATTTCATTCGACATCATTTACAAATAAACAACTTTGTTTTCATGGCTACAGGTGTAATTTTCCTACAATGCTCTGCCCTTTGACTATCATGTCTTTGAGTGAAAATTTAAAAATATATCTTTTAGCGGCTAGTAGGTTGAGAGATGACCGGAAAAGTATAACTTTTATTCCCTTGCTTCTACCCCATTGTTGAATGAATTCTTTGATATCCCCCGCTACCAATCTGTAGTATAAGTCCAGCCTACCCCATAAAATTTGATAAGTATCTGTCTTTGGCGACGGAAAATTGAACATTTGTGGAAAGTCACTTTTGCCATGCTCCGAACATGTAAGAAATAGTAAATGTAGTTCCTGTAGTTTGATATGATTCTAAATCCTTTTGACTCAAGTTAATTCTTTCCTTTTCAGTTCCCTTTTCTCTTTCCTTTATTTTTTTTTTAAGTCTATATACTAAAATCTGGTTATCCCTCTTGGAGTGGTCACTCCGACTTATACTAAGTTAAAACTTAGTATAGTCTATCCCACTGAATACCATGCACTATTATGAACTATTCTACCTTCGATATATTAGTAAATCGACAATCTCATTGATTGGGCGTTCTCTTGGATCGTCTTCGAGAAGTAACCTGAACATAATTACCCCTTGGCGGTCAAGGTTAAAACGCATCTCTACCAATTTCAATGAATACGAATAATATTTCATACCGGATCGGCCGTCAACCGGGACAACAAGGGCCGCATCCCTCAGAGAGGAATCAGTCTGAGGACGAAAAGTCTGCCACTGGAACAAACTGTTCAACACACGAAGAGACACTAGGTCACCAAACCCGGATTATTGCCAACCTTGGATCAAGTGACTCAATACCAAATCGACTAATAAAAAGTAAACGAATGAAATGGAGCCGCGAAGAGTATCGACAAGTCATGACATCCCACTTCACTGCACTCGAAAACCCAGCAAAGAACACCACCAATCAAACATACCAAATATGGAGAAGTACGGTGGGAAATGATATAAGACCTAACCTCAATCCAAACATGCTTGCCAATGTCCGTAGGGACATCATGCGAAACAACATACTCTCAAAGGCAGAAATAGATAAGATAAAATTAGATATAAGACAAAATACTATGACCCATCACTCAAACTCTCTTGAGACAAATGTAGAAATAAGGAATGCAACAGAGGATGAGGTGGACGCTAAAGCGAATGAAATACGAAATAATCTCCCAGGAAATGAAACCCAAGACTCTACCTTAAACACAACCTGCAGTTCTCCAGAAAATGTACCTGGAGTCATCTTCAGTGACAATAAGTTAGAATTCCTTGAAAACCACGAAGCTGAAATCACCGGAGCGAAAAATGACGTCATCCAAATACTCAGCAGAGTAACTTTCATACAATTGTCAGACGGAGACCAGCTCTCGAAAATCCATATGACGAATTCCAACAAGCACATCGTGAAAATATACAATGCTGCTCTGGAAACACTGTTAACAGATAAACCACCGGGAAACATCACAGAAGTTAACAACGTCATATACGAAACAGCTTTAGCAGCGACTCGGAAGCTTGGGGTCAAGACAATAAATAAAATTAAACCAAACTGATTCGAGAAATAAAACAAATCAGATGTGAGCTTTCTATATTAGATGAGCTCACCAGAAACCCTAATATTTCCACACGTAAATGCAAAAAGACCAAGCGGAAATATAACATTAAATACCTAATTGATATTCCATCAATCAAGGAAATGCTGAAGCAGAAACTTCAGCTAAAGGCGCAGAGAACATGACGATACGAAAAACGTTGTAGGTTCTATCGCCAGAATAAAATATTCCGAACAGATCTTAAGAAATTTTACAGGGAAATTGGA